CCTTTTCTGACTTTCGGCCAATCAAAGTCAACAACGAAGCCAGATTCATTTAACAACTGTGTGACTAACTTAATGACGGCAATGTTTCCCTTAACCACTGGGTCAGAGCTCCCCTTCACAACTGTCTTGCTTAGTGACAGAAATTTTAGGCTCAGATGTGGTCGTAAGCCGAGGCCCAGCTCTCCTCCATCGAGAAAGCAACCTCCTATTGCCTGGAAACCGTCGTGGAAAATATTAAATTGAAAATGAATACAGCAATAGAGAGAGATGAAAGAGGAGTAGAGAGTAGAGAGATGGAAGAGAAAGGGAGAAGAGAGAGGGATGGAAGAGAGGGGAGGAAGGAAGAGAGGGGAAATTAGAGGAGGAGAGATGGCCAGACAGGGGGGAAGAAAGGAGGAGAAGGAGAAAGGAAGGGGAAGTAGAGAAGAGGAGGAGAGGAGGGAAAAAGAAAGTAAGAAGGAAAGAAGAGAGAGAGAGATGGCAGGATTGAGAAGAAAAATTGCTGTACAACAAAAAAGATGAAAGGGAAGAAAGGCAGCCCCGAACATATATAAATATACTAAGATAAAGAATGAATGGTTAAAAAAACAAAAGAGAATAAATATGAATAAGCGGGAAAACTAGAATTTGAGGGCGAATGAAGATGCTGTTTATATAAGTAAGCAAAGAAATGTTGAGATATGATTTTTTTTTTTTAAAAAAGGGAAAAAAGAAACTTGTGGCAAAAATTGTAATTGAGTAAAATGTATTTGAATTTGATAAATTGTATGAGGTATGGCCAATACTCTGTTTAAAAAAAGATGTGGACAAATGTGGGGGGCGGAAAAAAACCCAATAAAACTTGTTTTTTTAAAAAAAAGAGAGAGAGAGAGAAAGCAACTCCTAGTTTAATTAATTAGCTACTTTCTTCCTGGAAACGAGAAAAGTTAATTTCCATGCTGGATGAAGCTGGCTCGCTCACTCTGACTCCAGCAGAATTCGGAAAAAAACCGAGCTTATCACAAATCACAACTCAGAGCACCGACTGACACAACTACACACATCCGAAGCTTCGCAGCGATTCTCACCCTGGAATGACTCACCCCCGAAATTGGTTTTCCCCTCCAACCAGATTTTTGACTTTGATAACTCCGATAATCACATCGTAAACCGGTGACAAGCGGATTGTGTCCGAGTGGGGCCTTTAGCAGCCTATCGTACCGCACAAACACAAAACGCACAAACCCTTTGCAAAGCCCCTCTCCTAAACTGACACCTCCAGGTTGCAATTCTGGAGACTAAACAGTTGGAAAAGATTGAAGGAGTATTTTTCTTTTAAATTAATTTTTTTAATTATTATTATTTTTTTTAAAATTATTTTAATCCTGCCAGAGCAGGATTCTTCAAAGCCAAAGTTGTAAATGCTCCAGCAACTGGAAGTTTTTAAGAAGAGATTGGACAGCCATTTGTCTGAAATGGTATATAAGGCAGGGGTGAAATGCTCCCGGTTCGGACCGGATCGCCCAATCCGGTAGCGATGGGGGGCGGATGGTTCGGAAAACCGGTAGCAAAAATCCCTGCGCCCCCCCACACCATGCCCAGCTGAGCCCCACAATCATCAGAGGCTTTTTTTTAAAAAACTTTTAAAAGCATTTTTTCTACAAACTCTTCCGACGAAAAAATGCTTTTAAAAGTTTTTTTAAAAAGCCTCTGATGATGACCGCATGGCTCAGCTGGGATCGTCAGACTCTATTAAAAGCATTTTTTTCTGCAACCTCTTTGGCCGAAGAAAAAACAAATGCCTTTAAAAGCCTCTGACGATCCCAGCTGAGTTGCCTGATCAGCAGAGGCTTTTCAAAGCATTAGAAAAAATGCTTTGAAAAGTTTTTTTTTAAAAAAAAATTGGCCATGCCAATCCAGTCACATGACCCCCACCACCACCAAGCCACGCCCACAGAGCCAGTAGTAATAAATTTTATTTATTTATTTATTTGTTTCAATTTGTATACCGCCCTTCTCCAGCAGGACTCAGGGCGGTGAACAGCCAGAATAAAATGAGAACATACAAAATTTGAAAACAGTTTAAAAATGATTAAATATTTTTGGCCGCAATTTAAAACAACCCAATTAAAATCAATTAATTTAACCAAAACAATGGGATCAAGCCAGCCTGGTTAGGTGAAATAAATAAGTTTTCAGGGCCCGACGAAAAGTCCGGAGGTCTGGTATTGTACGTATCTCTGGGGGTTTTACATTTCACCCCTGATATAAAGCCTCCTGCCTGAATAGAGGGGGTTGGACTAGAAGACCTCCAAGGTCCCTTCCAACTCTGCGGGGCCAATCTTTAAATCGTCCTGTGGATCCCTCCAAGGCTGGTTTAAAAGCCGGGAGAGAAGAAAAAGGACAAAGTTTGGAAGAGAAGAAATTCTCTTTTTAAGAGAGCTTGCTTCAGGGGAGTGAAAAATCTGAGGTTTGTTCCCATGTCACAATATTATGAATGATCGCTTGGATTTCTTAGATGGGGAGGGAAATCCATCCTCTACAGGTAGTCCTTGATTTATGGCCACAATTGAGCGCAACATTGGTGGTCTTTCGATTCTAACCCCAGGACCAAGTTCATAGAAACATAGGGCTGGAAGGGACCTTGGAGGTCATCTAGTCCAACCCCCTGCTCGAGCAGGAAACCCTGTACCATCTCAGACAAATGGCGCTTCACCATGGAACCAGGCGTCTCAATTAATGGATACTTAACAGATTAACAGAGTTGGAAGGGACCTTGGAGGTCATCTAGTCCAACCCCCCGCCCAAGCAGGAGGCCCTACACCGTTTCTGACAGATGGCAGTCCAATCTCTTCTTGGAAAGCCTCCAGTGTTGGAGCACCCACAAATTCTGGTGGCAAGATGTTCCCCTGGTTAATTGTTCCGTCAGTAAATTTCTCCTTGTTTCTAGGTTGAATCTCTCCTTGATCGGTTTCCATCCATTGTTCCTTGTCTCGGCCTTCGGGTGCTTTGGAGAATAGGTTGTCCTCCTCCTCCTCTCTGGGGCAGCCCCTCAAGCTCAGAGGACACCAAGGACCCCATAATCTTCCTCCTCCTCCTCCTCCTCCTCTCTTCCTCCTCTTCCTCCTCTTCCTCCTCCTCCCCCCTGCAAATCCCTCTCCCTTCTAGCACTGATGATGTTACCTAATTGGGTCATGAAACGTCTGCAAGAAAACAACCAAGCTCAGAGAGTATCAAGGACCCCCACAGTAGTCCTCCTCCTCCTCTTCCTCCTCCTTGCAAATCCCTCTCCCTCTAGCACTGATGGTGTTACTTAGTTGGCTATTGAAACGTCTGCAAGAAAACAACCAAGCTCAGAGAGTATCAAGGACCCCTACAGTAGTTCTCCTCTTCCTCCTCTTCCTCCTCCTCTTCCTCCTCCTCCTCCTCCTCTTCTCTCTTCTCCTCCTCCTCTTCCTCCTCCTCTTCCTCCTCTTCTCTCTTCTCCTCTTCTCTCTTCTCCTCCTCCTCCTCTTCCTCCTCCTCTTCCTCCTCTTCTCTCTTCCCCTCCTCCTCCTCTTCCTCCTCTTCCTCCTCCTCTTCCTCCTCTTCTCTCTTCCCCTCCTCCTCCTCTTCCTCCTCTTCCTCCTCCTCTTCCTCCTCTTCTCTCTTCCCCTCCTCCTCCTCTTCCTCCTCCTCCTCCTCTTCCTCCTCTTCTCTCTTCTCCTCCTCCTCCTCTTCCTCCTCTTCCTCCTCCTCTTCCTCCTCTTCTCTCTCCTCCTCCTCCTCCTCTTCCTCCTCTTCCTCCTCCTCTTCCTCCTCTTCTCTCTCCTCCTCCTCCTCCTCCTCCTCCTCCTCCTCCTCCTCTTCCTCCTCTTTCTCTCTCCTCCTCCTCCTCCTCCTCCTCTTCCTCCTCCTCTTCCTCCTCTTCTCTCTCCTCCTCCTCCTCCTTGCAAACCCCTCTCCCTTCTAGCACTGATGGTGTTGCTTAGTTGGCTAATAAAACATCTGGAAGAAAACCACCAAGCCCAGAGAGCAGGAAATTTCCAGGAAATCTGTCCTTCGTCCTTAGGCTGGCTGGATCTCTCTTGAAGGATCTCCTACCCCTTGCTTGCCTCTTCTCCTGCTCCCCTCTTCTGTCTAAGCCCCCCCTCCCGCTCCCCCAAACAGGCATCCATCGAGAAGGACCCAGAGTCGAGGGAGGGGCGGCTCCCACCCCCCACCTGCCTCCCATCTGGGCCAGGTGGGGGAGTACAGACCAGAGCCCAACAGCCTGCGGAACTTCCTGCCACGCCAAGCCACCTCCGGCGCGAAGTCAGAACACATGGCATCCACTTTTGCAGGGACCTCCACCACAAAGTCAGCCTGAGTTCGACACCCGGAACCCCCCCCTCCCAGACTCCTGGTGGGGTGGGGGGTGTTGAAGGGCCGGGAAGCCCAATTGGGGGCTCTGATCTGGGCACCCCAACTTTCCCTTTTTCCCCCCCTCCTCCCCCGCGCGCACGTGGAGGGGAGACGCTGTCAAAAGCCGGAGCTAAGCCGAGCGCTGTCAGAATGGCAGAGGATGGCAGGAGGGTCCTTAAGAGAGAAGAAGAAGAAGAGCATCGGAGGGGACCTTTAGAGGTCTTCTAGTCCAACCCTCGACTCAACCAGGAGACACCCCCCACCCACTCCCCTTATACACTCTTCTGGACCTGGTCTTATATATAAAATTTTAAAAAACCTTCCAACGTTGGGGAGCATTCCCCACGATTTCTAGAGGCAAGTCGTTCCACCGGACGAATTGTCCAGCGGAGCAGCTGGAAGGGAAGGGAAGGGAAGGGAAGGGGAGTCTTGCAACGTTGCCTTCCCCAGCCTCGTTTAGCGACCTGCTGTTTTGACAGCTCTTGTTTCCTGTACGGGGCACTTTTTTTTCTCTCTCTCTCCTTCCCCCAAACTTCCCCGCTCTTCCTCTTCTTGCAAGCCCGACTCCGAGAAGCGAAAGCGAGCGGAGGATCGGGCACCAACGCCGCCCCCCACCCCCACCCCAGCGCCTCACCTACCCCAAGGTGCTGATGAAGCCGTTGACCGAGCCCTCGGCGTAAAGCGAAACCACATCGCCGATGTAGAGAAAGCTGGACATTTTATCAGACATGCTGGCTCATTTTTTTTTCTCTTCTTCCTCTTCTTCCTCTTCTCCTCCTCCTCCTCCTCTTCCCCCCCACCCACCCAAGGGGGCTCCAGGTAAGGCAGGACAGGTGAGAGATGCGCCAGCTGGGCTTTTTGCCGGCTGCCAAAAAAACCCCGTCCGCTTTGCAAATCCTATTCCGGACTCCCTTTTAATCCGAAGTCACTCCGGTTCCACCTTCTGTCCTTTCCCCTTGGCCGACCCTTTTTTTGCGATCCTCTCCGCGGCTTTGGCTCAGTGGCCGGAGGGTTGGGGAGGGGAGTGAGGGGGGGGCTTGTCTCTGTCCAGCCCCGTCGGGGTCCGGGGTCTCCTTCCTTCCCTCCCTCTCTTGGATGGTCCCACGGTTTCCTCCGCAGACAAACTGAAAGTCTTCTACAAGCGACTTTCCCCATTGAAGCTGCTGGAGGGAGGGGCTTTCCTGCCCTCCCCCACCCCACCCCCCTCTCTCTCTAGGCCCGCCCCGACCAATCGCAGGCGTCGGAAGGGAAGTGGGGGCGGCCCCACGAGAGATCGAGGAAGAAGGCAGGATGCGGGCGGGGAGGGGGGGCGGAGGGGAGGGGAGGTCTCCTCCTGCTGGGTGGGGAGGGAAGGGGGGACGATGAGAGTCTTATTTTTCTGGACTTGCGTTCCAGGTTTCTGCACACACACACACACACACACACACACACACACACACACACAGCTCTTTGCATTGGCCAATCCATAATTCTCGATATTAATAAATTGATTCCGTTGGCCAACCCATCATTCTTGTTACCTTAATAGATTGATTCCATTGGCCAACCCATAATTCTCGATACCTTAATAGATTGATTCTGTTGACCAACCCATAATTCTTGATACCTTAATATAATTCTTGATACCTTAATATATTGATTCATTGGCCAACCCATAATTCTCGATACCTTAAGAGATTGATTCATTGGCCAACCCTTAATTCTTGATACTTTAATATATTGATTCATTGGCCAACCCATAATTCTTGATACCTTAATATATTGATTCATTGGCCAACCCATAATTCTTGATACCTTAATATATTGATTCCATTGGCCAACCCATAATTCTTGATACCTTAATATATTGATTCCATTGGCCAACTGATAATTATTAATACCTTAATATATTGATTCATTGGCCAACCCATAATTCTCGATACCTTAATAGATTAATTCATTGGCCAACCCATAATTCTCGATACCTTAATAGATTAATTCATTGGCCAACCCATAATTCTCGGTACCTTAATAGATTGATTCATTGGCCAACCCATAATTCTCAATACCTCAATATATTGATTCATTGGCCAACCCATAATTCTCGATACCTTAATAGATTAATTCATTGGCCAACCCATAATTCTCGGTACCTTAATATATTGATTTGCAAATATTGTGAATAAAATATTTGGAAAGAGTGCAGAGAAGAGCAACAAAGAGGATTAGGGGGCTTGAGAATAAAACATATGAAGAATAGTTGCAGGAATTGGGTATGTCTAGTCTAGAAAAGAAGGACTAGGGGGGATATGATAGCAGGGTTTCAAATATTTGAGGGGCTGCCCCAAAGAAGTGGGGGAGTCAACCTATTCTCCAAAGCACCTGAAGACAGAACAAGAAGCAACGGATAGAAATTAATCAAGGAAAGAAGCAACCTGGAATTAAGGAGGAATTTCCCGGCAGTGAGAACAATTAACCAGTGGAACAGCTTGCCACCAGAAGTTGTGGGTGCTCCAACACTGGAAATTTTGAAGAAGAGACTGGACAGCCATTTGTCTGGAATGGCATAGGCCAGGGCTTCCTGCCTGAACAGGGGGTTGGACTAGAAGACCTCCAAGGTTCCTTCCAACTCTGTTGTTCTATCAAGGCAGTGCTTCAAGGGTTGGCAGAGGGAGGAAAGTGTGGATTTATTATCTAGAGCACTCAAAGCATGAGAAGAACCAATCTAAGGTAGCTTTACAGAAGAAGACCCACACTATAAATAAAGAGGAATTTCCTGACTGTAAAAATATTAAACAGTGGAATAGCCTGCCTCCTGGTGTCCTTGATGCTCCATCAAAGACTTCAAACTAAGTTAGACAGCCATTTGTCAGCGATGGTATGAGGATTCCTGGCCTCAAGATGAGTTTGGGTTGGATAGACTAGAAGATCTCCAAGATCCCTTCCAACTCTATTACTCTAAGGTTGTGGGACCCAATAATATAAAGTTCCAGCTTCTGTATATCCATCATTGCATCCAGTTTTGGTCACCACAATAGAAGAAAAGATGGTGAGACTCTAGAAAGAGTGCAGAGAAGAGCAACAAAGATGATTAGGGGACTGGAGACATATGAAGAACGGTTGCAGGAACGGGGCATGTCTAGTCTAGTGAAGAGAAGGACCAGGGGAGACAGGATAGCAGTCTTCCAATATTTGAAAGGCTGCCACAGAGAGGAAGGGGTCAACCTATTCTCCAAAGCACCTGAAGGCCAGACAAGGAATAATGGATGGACACTGATCAAGGAGAGAAGCAACCTAGAACTAAGGAGAAATTTCCTGACAGTGAAGACAATTAACCAACGGGACAGCTTGCCACCAGAAGTTGTGGAGGTTTTTAAGAGAAACAGGCTCAGGCTCAACCCATCCAAGACTGAGTGGCTGTGGTTTCCGACGTCCCCATATAGTCAGCTGGTGCCATCGCTGACTATTGGGGGTGAATCATTGGCCCCCACGGAGAGGGCTCGCAACTTGGGTGTCCTCCTGGATTCACGGCTGTCTTTAGAAGAGCACTTGACGGCCGTGACCTGGAGGATTTTTCATCAGGTTCGCCTGATCCGCCAGTTGCGTCCCTTTCTAGATCAGGACTCCTTACGCACAGTCACTCATGCCCTCGTCACTTCCCGCCTGGACTATTGCAACGCTGTCTACATGGGGCTCCCCTTGAGGAGCACTCGGAGGCTCCAACTGTCGCAGAGTGCGGCCACATGGGTGGTGATGGGAGCGACATGGAGTTCCCATGTAACACCTCTCCTGCGCGAGCTGCACTGGTTCCCGGTGGTCTTCCGAGTGCGCTTCAAGGTTTTGGTTATCACCTTTAGAGCGCTCCATGGCTTAGGACCTGGTTATCTACGGGACCGCCTGCTACCACCAATAGCCTCCCACCGGCCAGTACGCCCCCACAGAGAGGGGCTCCTCCGGGTACTGGCGGCCAAACAATGTTGACTGGCAGCCCCCAGGGGGAGAGCCTTCTCTGTGGGGGCACCTGCTATCTGGAACGAGCTCCCCCCGGAGATACGGAGGATCCCGGATCTGCGTACCTTCCGTCGCGCGCTCAAGACTCTTTTATTTCATCAAGCTGGCCTGACCTAAGTCTTTCCCCTTTTTAAATGCAAATTTTAAATTTGGTTTTAAATTATTGGGGTTTTAAATTTGTTCAGCCAAATTATTTAATTCGTTTGATTTTATTTTAAATTTTGTATTTATATGTTTTATTCTATGGCTGTTCACCGCCCTGAGTCCTTCGGGAGTAGGGCGGTATACAAATTCAATTTTTAAAAAAAGGGGGAAAAAAAAGAAAAGACTGCACAGCCATTTGCCAGGAATGATACAGAGTCTCCTGCCTGAGCAAAGGGCTGGATTAGAAATAATAATTTAAGCATGAGATTTAATCCACACCACCACCTACATAAAAAATGCAGCATGCAAATTCTGGAGCTGGTATATTTTTAAAAATGTATGGCTAATTGGACTAAATGAAAGTTAACTACAGAGTTGGCAAAGAAGTTGTTTTCTAAGGCACGAATCAGCCCAAAGGCAAACAGGGGAAACTTGGAAAATCTCTGTTGTGAATGCTGAGTTGTGAGACATTTTCTATTCTTGGCGGGTTCTGGAGGAGACACTATGGCTTTAAAAAGGGGGCGGGGCTTGGTACAGTTTTGTTTTGTTTTTTGCAAAAAAGTTTTTTTTTCCCCAAACATACAAATTACATCTTTTCAGAACAGAGCTTTTGTTCAATTTGTTCCATTTTTTGTCATCTTTAACACAATTTTATCTACTCTATTTTGCCATAACACTTATTTCTTAACCTTAAATCACATATTCAACTAATACCATCTTTAAAAAAATTAACACATATTTACTTAATCAAAACAATTACCCTTCTATTAACCCACCTTAAATCTTAATTCAATTAATAGCTCATAAGACATTTCAGTACAGTTCAAACGTATTTATATTTCATGATACTCATTAAGTCCTTATTCCATTATTACTTTATCAGATTGAAATCTTATCTTTAATCTTAAAAATATAACAATTTAACATTTAAACGTAGTTCTTAATTCAAATAATGCTATTTAATGCAATTTCCCAATTATCCCAAATTCTATCTATTAAATCGTACCATTTATATAACACTAATTAAGTAATTTTTGTTTATAAATCATAACCATATATTGTTTCAATTGGCTTGGTACAGTTTTGGCTGCCATTTTAGCCTTTTTATTATTATTATTCTGTCCCCGCCTCCTGGTCTGTTTATTTCCTAAAAATAAAGATACGTCTAAGTTGGCCTATAACACCAACCTATTTACCCAGGTGACAAGGACAACTGTCATACCTCACCTGTGCATAAGTAATTCAACCTCAGACCAGACCTTCCCTGCTGAATGTGGTTTTTCTTGGCAAAAATGAAAAAAGAAAAAAATAACTTTTTCAAAAACCCAGAAGGACTTTCTCTCTGGAAAGCAAGTTGGCGGTATATATTTTTTTTAAAATGTTAAAGATTAACAGGAAAGGCAATGAAGCAGAGCAACCTCAACAAGCGAGCAAACGTTGCACTGGTAAAAAGTTCTTTGTATGGCTAGCTTACGACACTAATTGAGGCCAAAGTTTTTGTTGTTAAGTGAGACATTGGTCCAGTGAGTTTGGCCCCACATTACAACTTTTTTCTTCTCTCCCTCCCTCCCTCCCTCCCTCTCTCTTTCTTTCATCTCCAACTATCCATCCATCCATCCATTTATTATTTATTATCTATCTATCTATTCATCCAGCCATCAGCCATCTATCTATCTATCTATCTATCTATCTATCTATCTATCCAGCCAGCCATCATCCAGCTATCTATCTATCTATCTATCTATCTATCTATCTATCTATCTATCCAGCCATCAGCTATCTATCTATCTATCTATCTATGTATCTATCTATGTATCTATCTATCTATCTATCTATCTATCTATCTATCTATCTATCTATCATCTATCTATGCATTGTCTATCATCTATCCATTTAACTATATCTATCTATCTATTTATCTATCTATCTATCTATCTATCATCTATCTATTTATTTATCTATCTCTATCTATCATCTATCTATCATCTATCTATGC